CTGTTGGTGGTTTTACTGAGCAGGTGCCACTTTTGTCATACGTTTCTTTTTAAAACATGTTTAGACTGTTCAGAATACAAATCCAGGCTCTGTCACGTTTGATTGTTGTAATTAAACTTTGAGGGGAAGGTCAGAAAAGGATCCGATCATTTTGTTTTTCCCTCATTTACAGTGACGGAGATAACGGCGCAGTGCGCCTGGCTCTGGTGTTAATCAAGTTTAATTTTATATCTTTGCAACAATTTTCACAAGAAAACAGAACAGTTAAAAGCAGGGCTTGTGTTGACCGGATAGTTACCGTGTTTGACCGTTTATTTTGACGGAGAAAGAATAGAAAGAATTACCCCGACGCATGCAGACAAACTGACACTTTATTCGTTTCGCACATCGCAGATGTAGCTAAATCAGTCAAGAAAAGATTCCCATCTAAACACCTGAGCTGGACACTGCTCAGCGCAGCTCGCTGTCAGTGTGAACTACATGAGGTCCACAGCGAGCTGAAGATGTGGAGAGGGGCTTGGAGCACGTTGCAGAACCAGAGCGCATGCAGGAAGATTCCTCCGACTGAAGCGAGACTTATCACTTAGAAAATGTTCCCTGATTATGAAACTTTGGCTGAATATTGCTTGTTCCTGTCTCCAATGTGGCGACACATCCAGGAGCCGTGTGAGGAGAATCCCAGAATCTCACATCCTCTTCAGCTCAGACAGCGCATATGATTACGCACAAGCGTGACCCGTCAACCCGGTCTCACAGTAAGACCGGGTTGGACCTGTTCAGGTTTACGCAGACAATCTTTACATTTAGAAATGGCATACAGATGTAAAATTAATGCAGTAAAATAAAAAGCATTTTATTTAAATATCCATTCATTATTTTACAAGCACAGAGAGCCGCATCAGATGGACGGGTTGCCGACCCCCGACATAGACATAGGGAGAAAATCTCATTATGTCACGTTGCTGCATCGATACGGAATCATGCACGGCTGAATCACGATGCATCTTAGAATTGATCATTTTCCCCACCTCTAACATACATATATATATAAATATGTATATACATATATATACATATTTATGTATATATATGTATATACATTAGGGGTTGTATGAACTAGTCGACTAGTCGACTTCATGGCTCTGTAGTGACTTTTTATGCCTGTCATCGACTAGTCGCTGTCACATGATAATGACTGACAAGATGCAGTCCTCGGAAAAGACAACAGGTGACAAGCTCCTGCGCGTCGGGAGGCAACGCGCTGTGCCAGAGCGTCGTATTGACACCCGCCGTAAAACAGACATTTAACCAAATTGTGACCTTTACCCTCTTGCAATTTATCCCTCCCCTCACCCCCATCCTAGCCTTAACCAGCTTGCGCATGCAAAGCTCTGATCATTGACGCGCTCTAGACATCTGAGTCCTGAGCACCGCCAAATCGGGTGTCACCACCTCAAAAACAAATTAAACACGCGGTCGTTCATGTTGGCTCATTTCCTTTGATGTTTTCTGTCTGTGATTTGTGCCTGATGCGTTTCGCTGCTGCGGAACGAGGCGCATCACCTGTTTTGTCCTCCGGTGACGCACCCCCAAAATTCCACTATCTCCGCTCCGCTCCGGCACAAACTCCGCAGCAAAAACGGTCCCGTTGTAGTCGGCCGGTGAGCAGTGGAAACCCGCTGTTTTTGTGGTCGGTGGATCTTTTAGAACTGCAGTTCAAAGGTAACTCATGAGGTGAATATATATGAACCCAGGTAGCAGTTTCTCTTTAGGATTGAGAGGAGATGCAGGAAGATAATAAACAGGCAGGACAGAAAAATAGTCAAATAAATACAAGTTAGTTTTTGTACCTGGTGGTTGCAACAAACAGACACCATTGAAGGTAATCAGAAGTGAGGAACATAAAATGAAATAATTATTTTAGTGTTTAGAGCAGCAGGAAAGGCTGCAGGCGCATCAGTGAGTTTGCAGCTGCTGCGCAGGGGGAGGGGGAGAGGGCTGAAGTAGGATGCAGAAACTACCGTTGTTAAAAGAGATATGTTAACTTAGAAAATGTGGGCGCAATTTTAATTGTCAAAAACTCCAGTGAACCTACCGACCCCCCCCCCCCCCCCCCCCCGTGCCGCTTCAGGTGTATGACGTCATCAACGACTAGTCGAAGTCGACTCGATTTTCATTACTTGACTGTCGACTTTAAAAAGAACTTTAAGTCATGCAACCCCTAATATACATATATATGTATATATATATATATATATATATATATATATATATATATATATATATATACATATATATGTATATATATACATGTATATGTATATATATATATATATATATATATATATATATATATATATATATATGTATATATATGTATATATATACATGTATATGTATATATATATATATGTATATATATGTATATACATATATATGTATATATACATGTATATATATACATATATATATATATATACATATATATATGTATATTTGTACATATATATTTATATATACATGTATAGGTATATATATATATATATATACATATATATATATATATATATATATATATATATATATATATAGATAGATAGATAGATAGATATATATTAGGGCTGGGACTTGATTAGAAATTTTTATCTAATTAATTACAGGCTTTGTAATTCATTAATCTAAATTAATCGTATTTTAATCGTTCAGGAAAATGTGCTCTCAAAGTAAAACTTTTAATTAAAATTATGAGACAGAGAATCAAACATTAGACATGGTTATTACTGTAAACTAAAGCTTTTAATTAAAAATGCATTTTAATTATTCAAATGTCACTGTGTGATATGAAACAAAACCAAAATCAACTAAAATTTACAATTACAAATAGAAAACACCTGCAAAGGGTTCCTGAGCCTTTAAATAGTCTCTCTGTCTAGTTGAATGACTGAAATAAATTTGACTTTGCACCAGATTCTAATTTTTCCAGTTTCACTTGTTTGTATAATTGGGAGTTTTTATTAGCATTTCTACTCATAACGTAGTAAAAACACATAAATAATAATCCTTCAAAATGACAGTAGAACAGGCACAAATATGATCTAGGACTTAAATGTACTAACTTTTAACACCAGAGCAGGCATGGCATATTCTGAGAATGATCAGGAACACTAACTGGTTCCAGTTGGATGACTGGAGGATGATGGGATGATAAAAGATCATGGCGAGGAAATAATGATGTGACAAAAAGGTGAGCGGACCTTCCTTACATGGGAAGTAGGGCTGGGCGATATGGACCAAAACTTATATCTCGATATCTTTAAGCTGAATTCCGATATACGATATATATCTCGATATTTTTCCTCCTGTAAACTGTTGACAAGTTAACTCACTTCAAGCTCTTGAGAAATTATATACATAAATCAGTAGGTTAAATGCATAAAAATGTATTGATTCTGGTCAAACTTTAACTGTAGTGCCTATTCTCTACCAGTCTGAGCTTTAGTAACACAGGTACAGCTGTCTGCTAACACACACACACACACACACACACACACACACACACACACACACACACACACACACACACACACACACACACACACACACAGTTGAGAGCCAGAGGTGTATCAAATGTCCCACAGGCACTTTTTAATTATATATTTATAATTAATGTCAAATTATTTAAATTTCATCTAGAGGTGGCCCATATTGTATAGGTCTTGTCCAGAGAAAAAAAATCCATCATGTTAAGCTAAATGTACGATGATGTAATTGCATCTACTGAAGATCACATGGGTCATGCACCATGGAGTTATTAGTTATTAGAAAAACTAGTTATTAACTAGTTGTTAGTTATTAGTTAGCAGTGTTGGCTCATATCAGCGATTATACTGTAATGATTCAGAGTCTCTGGTTGCTCTTTTATGAGTGTTATTTTCGGGCTACTGTCGCCATAACCCACACCTTACAAACTCAACTTTTTGGGAAGTCCTGATGTCACGTTAAGAAGGGGATGCTGCAGACCCGCGGATTCACACCTGCAGCAGCGAATCTGGTGTGATCTCCAGCCTGATCACAACTTTCTCATTCCTCGCTGCCCCTGATGCACTAAAGCATCCGCCCCTTAGCTGATGACAGCTTCAGCACACCTCGCAGCTTATTGATAGTAATGCATGTGGTGCTTAGACAGTGACTCGTCTCAGAAACACAATACCCCGACAGCATTGTTTAGAAAATCATCAGAAAAGTTTCAGAGTGTTTCTGTTTTAACTTAAACTTCTGTTTTCAACTTTAAGACACGTTGTCTCTGATTGTTTACAGAGTAGTGAGAACACGGAGCATTCTCCCAGCTGCAGCCAGGTGCCTCTCGTTTGTCTGACTACTTTCATAAACTACTGTTAGGGCACAGAATTATTCTGTCTGGTGCTTTCAGCGCTGCACAGATGTTACGTAAATGTTGAAAATATAGCTTACCGCAACTTTTGTAAAGTTTCCGGTGCCACCGGGCAGCCGCAGCAGAGACGATCTCTGAAAAATGTCCGCGACACGGACTCCGTTGTTGTCTGGAAGTTTTTTTTCCAAGTTAAGAAAAGAGGCGGACCTGTTTCCTAAATCCTGCATCAGTACAAGCAAGGCAACTACTTTCTGTTTTTATTCCGTTTTAGTAGCCATTAGCACTGTGCATTGTTGTGTGCGTCAGTGATATTCAGTCTACGAGGAAATCGTGCAATGACAAAGGTTCCGCTGTGCTTCAAATGCAAGCTGCAATTAAATGCGTTAAATTTTTTTAACGTGTTATTTTTTTCGAATTAATTAATCATAATTAACGCATTAAAGTCCCGGCCCTAATATATATATATATATATATATATATATATATATATATATATATATATATATATATATATATATCATTATTATATATATATATAATATATCTAAATGTGATTAACGAGAGTTCTTAAAAGTGAAGTGGTGGTTCATTCTGTGTGTCTTATCTCTACCTGATGCGAGAGTCCACTCTGCAGAACGCTGTTCCTGGCTATCTCACACAGATCGCACGTGCTCAGCTTCCACAGCTGTGCTGCTATGGCATACTCCTCCATCAACGCTTCCTGGGTGTTTAAAACAATAAAATGATGGATGATTTACCTCTGAACACTCCAGTGCTGTAAAATATCAGAATAGTG